ACCATCCTGCAAGGAGAGTTCAGAACCATCCTGCAAGGAGAGTTCAGAACCATCCTGCAAGGAGAGTTCAGAACCATCCTGCAAGGAGAGTTCAGAACCATCCTGCAAGGAGAGTTGCTTTTGAACTATTTGTCTAACAGGATTTCTGGAAATTGCTTTTGTACTCTTGGTGGAGACTATGGGGAAGGTTTTAGAGCGGCGGAAATAGAGAGAGCAGCAGGGAGATCCCAGTTAAGTACTCTATGCTTCCTTTCTGCCGATTGGCTTTACATGGCATGAAATCTTCTCTCTCCTAGGTGTTTGTGGCTTGATTGTCCCCCAGGAAGACATGCCGTTTTGTGATTCTGGCATCTGTCCGGACATCATAATGAACCCACACGGCTTCCCATCACGAATGACGGTCAGTTACCTGTAGATTTATCAGAGGAGCTGTTTCCAAAAGTAAGAAAGGAAGTAGTTAGTTTAGTTATAGTGAGTGGAGGTGTTGGGACGTTGAAGCTGATTTTTAAAAAACCCTTTCCCAGCCAAACAGCCTTCTAATTCCTGGCAGTTCTGGGCCACTCTTTGCAGAGAGAATGAGTAGTGTGTCTATACTTCCCTTTGAGAATAGAGTCTGCTGAGTGATGAACTTACCTCACAGCAAAGAGAAGCCCTGGTATGGAGCTTACATGGATCTCCCTGTCAGTGGTTAACTCTGTAATGCTGACTCTGCCCTGCACTGGCTGTGCAGCCTTGGATATGTTGCTTAACCTCTCAGTACCTTGGTTTCCTCATCTTGAAACCAAGAAAATAATAGTATCTGTTTAACAGGGGTTTTGAGACGTGTTAAAGTAGATCACACATGTCAGGAGTCTGTCCCACAGCAAGATTTATAAATGGTGCTGCTCTTAATTTATCACTGTTATTAATAGTAGTTGTCACATAATCATTTGGGGGAAATAAGCCAGAGATAATAAGCAAAGAGAATTCCTATAGCACAGGGAGGTCTTTACTTAATTTGTCCACATCCCACAGGTGGGGAAGCTAATCGAGTTGCTGGCTGGCAAGGCCGGTGTGCTGGATGGCAGGTTCCACTATGGCACTGCATTTGGAGGGAGTAAAGTGAAGGACGTGTGTGAAGACCTGGTTCGCCATGGTTATAACTACTTAGGGAA